TGAGGGCATAGGATTGTTTGCAAATATTGGCATTTGGAGACTTTTCATGGCTTCTCAGTGTACTAATATATGGTCATTATTAAGGTTTTTGATGTTAGAATATGACTTTTTAATGTGTCAATGCTTGACTAGAGCTATTCTCAAGCTGGAATAACTGAGACTGAATGGACAAGTGGATCTTCAAAAGGCGGACCTCTGCAGGCATTAACTAGGGAATCTACAAGAGGGTCAAGAAGAACTCCAAGGAAAAGGGTGATGCAAGGCTTATTGCTTAGAAATGGGTTTTCAGATTGGTAGGGTTTTAGTGATTATTTTGTATTTATTGTTTTTGTTTTGTTTTCAAACTAACAGGTGGAAACTTCAGAACATTTTCGTATAGATGGTGCAGTAATTTCAGAGAGTACTCCCATAGCTGAAACTATAATGGCTTCAAGCAACGAAACCTTAGTAAATATGTTTCATAAATTGTACAAGTGGTATTCTTTGTAAATTACCCTTTAATTAGAATTGGGGAGGTGGTGAATTTTGGCAAATCTCAAATCTACTGTTTTTAAACATTTTAAACTGATTTTCCCCATATAGTTCTGAATTTTAGAATTTTTCAATAACCAACTTATTTAAATAAATTTAACTCATTGTACAAGAATCCTAAGTAATATAAGAATACTTTTTTGATAAAATATTTAAAGAATGATAAGGCTTCACATGTGAAACACTGGATTCATTTGTTTCTAGGTTCTGTTGCCTAAATTTTTATTAAGGGAAAGTTTCAGGTATTACAGAAAGAGTATCTTTTTCTTTTCTTTTTAAGTGTCTTTGTTATGTTTGGATAATTCTGAGTCTGAATAATTTGAATCTTGGCAGGTTGTCAATAGGGTGACTGGAAATTTCAAGCATGCAGCTCCTATTCTGCCAATCACTGAGTTCTCAGACATACCCAGAAGAACACCAAAGAAACCATTGACAAGAGCTGAAGTAAATGAATAAAATTTAGATCGATGCTACTACCATTGATCTTTCAAAGAGAAAATATTTATACTTGTTTTTTTGGAGTGGGAGGGAGCAGAGTTTTCTTTATTGGGTGGTGTATGTGTGTGTGTGTGTGTGTATATATATGCATATATTACTTTAAAGACACTTATTAGTGGAAATGGAAATCAACTAATATATTTGTTTTTTTGGAGTGGGAGGGAGCAGAGTTTTCTTTATTGGGTGGTGTATGTGTGTGTGTGTGTGTGTGTGTGTGTGTATATATATATATGCATATATTACTTTAAAGACACTTATTAGTGGAAATGGAAATCAACTAATATAATATGACATGCTAATACTGTCTTCTTGCTACTGTATGCCTGTTAAGTTACAGTTTTCAAAGGGAGTGGTCATTTGTGTGCTGCTTATAACATGTTTTGTTTGTCATGGATGCAAGTTAGAAAGTGCTTCTGGACTGTGAGGGCAAGTTACACTATCTGTCATTGAAAGGTCAAATAATGGAACTTTAAAATGACTTTATATGGTGCTCGAATTGGTTAACTCCTGTATAATTAAGCTTTAATGTACTAACTGCATGGTGCATTATAATTTTAATGAATCTTTACCAAAGGAGATGAAATATTTATTTTGATCTGGGCAGAAAGGTAAACACAGCAAAAGAGTCAAGCTAAAAAATTATGTTTTTTAGATCTGGGAGATTGCATTGACTTAAAACATTGTACTAAAATTTGTTAAAGGTCCATGTTAATTGGATATCTTCTATATGTGATCATTTATTTTATTATACAATTCTTAACCAAGGAATACACGTTGTACTCTTAATGTTTCATTATGGAAAAACATGGAAAATCAGTGGGAGATTTACAGTACTATATTAGGATACTGGATTTTTTGTTTTGTTTTGTTTTTCATTTATTTGAATGTGTGGCAGTTTTCCCATAATAACCACATTAAGATATCTTCATATTGGAGAAATTTGAAGAGAGCCTTGGAAGGGTGTGGATATCTAGATGATGATAGAAACAGCAATTGTAAAAACTGGGACAGATTATTAAGGCCATTTTTTTCTCTAAAACTTCTATTTAAAGTTATGTTTGAATTACTGCACATTTACACTAAGTTTTAACTTGTGGTTTGTTTGTTTCTCATTAGGTGGGAGAAAAAACAGAGGAGAGAAGAGTAGAAAGGGATATCCTTAAGGAAATGTTTCCCTATGAAGCAGCTACACCAACAGGAATTAGGTACTCGGATTGAAATAAGTATTAGTGTATTCTTCTAGGGAATTCTTATTTTTAATTTTTCATCACAAAGTTGTTATACCTTTGTTCTCAGAAATAAACTGTCCTTTTGGAAACAGTTTAATTCCCCTAAGCTACCAGTTGTTCATATCCTTGAAAGTTGAGTCAGTGTCAGAATTAACTTTGTTAAGCTGAAGGATCGTAAAGAAATCATGTACTCACTGTTTAATTCATATTTTCAAATCTAAATGGAAACCTAAACCAGTAAGAAGATCATATTTTTTTTCCCTGAGTTTCTCTTTTCTAGCTGAAAACGTTACATTTAGATATTTGTCAAATTATTTTGTAACTGAAGGAATTACAAACAAAACTATCTTAGGTTTTGCCTCTTTCCTCCTAAATATATTAGCTTTGAAAAGTTTTTAAGAAGGCAGGTTTAGGGAATATTTATCATTGTTCTGAATATTATTTTTTAATAAAAGATGCATCTAACTTTTAAGATGAAAAATGTATAGAAGTTTTTTAAAAGTTTGACTAACCTCACTGCTTAATATGTGTCAGTTTTCTACTGGTTCCTCACAGAATGTGCTTGG